TTAAGAAAGGACTTGTATCGCTGAAGTTCCTCGGAAATAATTTATACCGGGAATTAACAAACAAGCAGATATGTAACAGTACCATAGAGCCAGTATCTATGGAAGCATATTACACCGTCCAATGCCCATTCTTGGAGTAGCACACAAACTACTGTATTGTTATGAAATATTTGAAAAAAAAAATTAGTAAAATGCATGTACTGAAAACAGTTATCGAAATTGTCTAAAAACCGTAATAATTACCATTATGAAATATAACTAACATTTGAAAGAAAATATTTCATTCGTAGCATAAAGCTTTTGAAAATGTTTAATTTTACCTTTCCATTAGAAATTGACACAAAATTAATAAACATGCTTACTCGCACGTGCGCGACGTCCTTGCACGGTATGCGTAAACTTTTGATATATCGCATGTCCGAGAGGGAATGCCTGTTTAAGTGATATATCAAACAAAAGTGATTTGAAAATCTCTTTCTGTGATTGATGGGATCTTCACTGTGATAAGCTTCAAAGTGTGGAACAATAAAATTCAGCTCTTGCTACTGTTCCTGGAACAGACTTGTATGATGATGCTATTGTTATGACAGCGTAATTCACGTGAGGCTGGTAAAACGTAATGAGTATCTAGAAGGTTCAGGGAACATTACGAATAATCCAGTATTTGCTAGACGCTCTCTATTCCTGTATATAAGCGCGCCAGATAAAGCGAGACAATTTAATCGAAACTGGAATAGCAGACAGAGAGATTGAAGATATAGACAGATAATCGAGTCAAGCCGTAAATAAAGTGTGTAAATCATTGTGAATTATAGCGTGTGTTGAAGTGACTGTGGAAATTAAGTGTATTGCAAAGTTGTATTGAGAAAGAATAAATTAGTTTTATTTAAGAAAGGACTTGTATTGCTGAAGTTCTTCGGAAAGAATTTCTACGGAAAATTAACAAATGAACACAGACATAACACTATAAAAACTAGTAACTGTATCACATAAAACTTTATACCATTCACCAGCATCCACCTGCAAAATGTTTACATATTTCGAATCCATTTTCACATCACTAACATTGGAAGGTGTATGCATCTGAAAACTACAAGTTATTTCTTACGACTGAACATTTCAAGTCGTGATGTTGTCCTGCTTTCACGGTATTTCCTCTGTTAGACCATCAGGAATAGTGAGCACAAGATTTTGAAGAAATGATTATTCTAAAATAGAAAAGAGGGTTCATAAGACGTTTGAAAAATCCTGAACTTAATGATTTACTAGGTTTAGTATAGTATTTTTTATAAAAGACATTGAGAGTGAGAATCAACTAATAACTGTTAAACAGATTTAATTAAATTTTTGTATGTTTAGTCTGTCCAGGTTCCGACCATTCACCAAAAGTTTGTACTGATGAATGTCTCTCGCACCAGTGTCCGCTACATCCTAACTCTGTTTGTGTTGCTGACCCATGCAATAACTGTTCCACTAGTTTTATTAACCAGGATGACGAAGAAGTGAATTGTGAAGGTGAGAATTATACTTGTAAGTACGTACGTATATGTAAATATAATATATATACTTTTCTTTAAATAATAATTTGTGAACTAATTCATTGTATAGAGGAAATTTTTCCTATTGCTTCCGGTAAGGATTTGGAAAATGTGAATAGTTTTAAAACGTAACTCAACTGTTTTGACACTTACATGAGGTGACACTTCAATTTTCTTGACTTGGAGGCCAAAGTATTGTTACGACAGAGGTAGTCACGTGACGCTGGTAACACGTCATGGGGTTCTAGAAGAATCATGACTGTTCCCAACAACTCTAGTCTTTTCTACACATCCTCTATTTTAGTATATAAGCCGGCAAATAAAGTGACGGCAGAGATAATTGTAAACAGATAATCGAATCAAACCGTAAATAAAGTGCGTGAATGGTTGTGAATTATAGCGTGTGTTTAAGTTAAAGTGACTGGTGAAATTCTGTGTTTTGCAAAGTTGTATTGAAAAAAAAAACTAGTTTTATTTAAGAAAGGACTTGTATCGCTGAAGTTTTTCGGAACGAATTTCTACGGAAAATTAACCAACGACAAGAGACGTAACAGTATCATCTACGAACAAGCTTCAGATGATTTCTCAGCTTAAGTATACACCCCCCCAAACTTTTTCTTCTAAATGATTGATATGAAATATTGTTTTTCAATGTCATGAAATACATATCTCTGCTTTGGATTTTTACAGATTCATCACAAATTGTAACACCTCCCATACCCGTTTCAACGAAGTGTGAAGTTGTGAGAGAGCGCCACCTACAATTAGGTTATCCAGCAAACTCGTACATACCCCATTGCGATCTCAATGGCCAGTTCTTGCCTCAACAGTGTTTCACTTCAGAAGATGGCGTTGAAAACTGCTGGTGTGTGAATGAAGCAGGGGTACGATTAGGGGCTGAAATATTTCTTAAAGGGACACAGACTTGTGGTAAGTGAACAGACATCTTTGTTTTAATATATTAACTCAAGATTTCGTTGTTGTCAAAATTGCACAATACTTACATTAAAGATATATATGTGCTGAAGTTAAAACCCTTCACACTATATTTTATAGGAAACTGACAAATGGTCACTAACAATAAATGGAGTTCAATACCCACTCAGTAATTAACTACCGATATAGGTGATTGAAAATAACCCTTAATTTAGTTAATTTAAAAAATAATTGCTTTCTATTCTTTTCACTGAGTGAAAGTTCATCCAAACTGGACGCAAATAACGTTAACATTTTTTAGAAATAACTGCAAGGAATAGGAGCATTCACGCCAGCCAACAGGCACTCGATTGGTGCCGTTGAAGGTCGGGCTTTGGGTTGGGATTTGGTCCATTATAGACCAGGAAGGATCTGGTTCAGCGTTGACTTCTTCCTCCCTATCAGAAGTTGATGTTATTTTAATTGAACTGAAACTGATTCCTAGGTAATAACCCAGTTAGTATGTTGCTTTACTCACTCTGAAATAGCACCTTTCTCTATTTTTGTTGTTGCTACACGATGGGAATGAAACTGACCAGTCAGAAGCAAGGTTAATACTCTTGAGACTGCTCAAAACACGGAAGCACGTGAAGCATGGATGGTGAATAAATTGATTTATGAAGTGCTGTACAACTGCAAATTAAGTACATATGAAGGAATTTTCTAAACTTACAATGCCTAGCAGAATATCACCAGTGTTCTTGGAGTCTTTGGTGAGTAAACGCATTTTTTGTGATAAACAAGGGTGATCACGTGGCTCCATGGACAACGGGACACTTTAAACATGGTTTTACAGTTTCCCGTAAACTGAAAAACATTACCGTGTAAATTAACCATTATACCTTTGCTGAATTGAATATTGTTGCTTGATTACTGTGCATAACAATAATAATGTAGTTTTAAATAATAAAAAGAGAAGAAACAAAAAGGTCAAAGAATGGAATTGTGAAGAATAAACATTTAAACACAAAGTTGAAATTGCAGTAAGTTGATTCAATAATTTAATCGGATAGTACGTTTCAAATGTATAGTGTTTTTGTTTTCAATTCACGTCTTGTGTGGATAGAAACTAATCAGTGCTGCTATCGTTCAGTGTGAATTTACGTTCTTAAGAATAACATTTGATGTAACATTGAATGTTTAAAAATGGGTTAAGTTTGATCAATTCATTAATAGTAATACAGTTTTTGATCAAGAACTTTAACCTTGCAGTGAATCATCTTGTATTGTTAAGTATAACATGCGCTGTGGAAAACAATTTTTCGAATTTATAGCTCTTTATCATGTTTTCATATACCTATGAACTTCGAAAGCCTTGGTTTTAACTGTTAACAATGAGGTACGTTGGATGTATGAGCAACTATTTAACATGTTCTGTTCCTAGAAAATTCGAGAGCAAGGGTTTGAATTGAAGTACATTGTATTGTTGTAAGCTATATTTTCAATGTGTTAATTTATATGTTAGCTGAAGAGCACATGACGTTAAAACCAAGGAACTTCAACTGATATTTAGATAAGGATATATTGATTATAAACATCTAATCAGGGAATGAGAAAAAAGTGAAGTACTTAGAGTAGTGATCGAGAATTCAATGAAGTATGTGAAAGATGGAGTAGTTCATCGCGAAAAGATTAATCATTAAATTAGTCAGGTTCTTTTGTCAATTGAGTACATTTCTGTTAAATGCTATAATTGTATTAGGCCTACAATAGTTTAAAAGTTTATGTTGACAAATATATTTGTAAACTTGCTCCTACAACGTGTGTCAAGGTAAACGTCGCCTGTTGCAAATGCTATTGAAGAAATAAGTTGATTCCTTGTCGTTAAGTGGACTGCACTTAACATTATTTTAACCAGATAATCCAAAAGAACCCACTCAATGATAGAACACGTTACAACATCTTGTATCAGAAGTGAGATTTTTTTGGTGAAAATAAAATATAACTTGGACTAAACTGTAACTTCAACTCTTTCAGATGATAACACGGACAAGAAGCGAGATCGAAACTGTGATAGAAATAGTTAAACAGTTAAAATAAGATCAAGAGACGGGGAACTTTGAGAAGAATTTCAAACAAATATGAATTTGACTATAACATCCACGAAGTCTTTGGGGACGTACAGAGAGATTACAACAACAAATTATTGAGATAGAAAAAAAAACCATCAGTGATATACTAAAACACTTGAAAAACAAATTGATAAATGCAAAGATTAAATCAACCACATGTCGTTCTGCATCAGCTCAAGAATCTCAACCTAAAACACCATCTACTACAAAAGTGGAACATGTTTAGTCTACACCTGTGTTATTGCAGGACCTTTCTGGACTACCCTAGTCATGTACTGCCAAATACAGTTCCAGAATTTCTCTCTCTTATTCAACAACATTGCCCGAGTTATAAACCAATGGACTATAAGGTAAAGATACCATGAGAGTCACATCAAACATATTTCAAAATAATTTCCAAAGTGAAAGTGTGAAGTGGTGAAGAACAAGCCACTCATCTTGCTGCCCTTTTAAAAGGACCAACTTTTACAACATTAAATAACCTTTCAGCTGAGAGCTGTACAAATATTAAGCATTGGTAGCTGCCTCATCCAATAGGTCGGAAGTGATACACCAGAAGAAAGTATCCATAGAAAAGTTCTGGAACAGAGTATAGAAGAAAGAGAACCTTGTAGAAGGTTTGGAAAGGCTTACCCAATTATCTTGCTAGTTTTTCCACTTGAAATGATGAATTCATTTGCACGTAACCAAGTTATTGACGTCATAACAGATGAGGATACGAGTTAGGTTGAAGCAAGGTAGGTGTATGAAGCTCTCCAGTTGATGATGTAACTTAAGTATTAATTTCACAGATAAACAACTAAAGATGTGAAATTTCCTACCGTATTGAAGAAAGAAAATAGATTGATGTGAGCAGCAAGTTCCAGCAATATAAAAATTAGAAGATATCTCTATACCTCATGATGTGTGAGTGACTGACATCGAGGAAGAGTACATATTGGAGATTGACTTCATACAGAGACATGGATGCGAGGTAGAGCTAGCTTTGAATAGCTTCACAGTCTGTATCCAAGGAAATTCTTGTGTACTGCATGACATTAACTACACCAGAGATTGAACTTCCAGTGACAACAGGGATAGTTGTCATTTTACTACTTTGAAATGAAATGCTCATAGGAGAAATTGTAAGGAATGAATCTATATTTAACCACTGGGGCATAGTAGAACCAAACACTTGCATTTTCTAAGGGATTAATGGTTGAAAATGCCCTTCTGGATCCTAAAAATATAGATGTCATGCATGATTTTACCCAGGAAAGACTTAAATCAGCATGTAATATAATGAAAAGTAGCTATGATGTTAATTCAGGATTTCATTGAAATGACATAGTATGACTGAACAATTCTCATTACAAGAAAGGGCGAACCCCTAAAGATGTTGAGAAAGACCAAATGTTGTACTGAAAATAATCAATGATGTTTAAAGAATCCAGAAGGACTGCTAGTCCAAGTTAAAGGTCATCCACTATGAAAGTTTATGGAAGTAAATTGGCAAAAGAAAGGCCAAATAAATAACCCAGAGAAAGATTTACCAGTGGAAATTCAACCTGCTGAGAATTCCAGGGTTTCTATTCAGACCACTTTCAGAGGACAACTAAGGATAGATCTACCAGTGGATTTGCTCAGCCACCTACATAAGAACTTCCTCAGTGATGAGACAGGAAGTGACAATAGGCCATATCATATGTTTACAATAACCTTAGATAAAGAAAACCACCAAAAAGACTTAGTGCATTGACAGTTTAGTATTTTATCTTTGGATTAGGATTGTTCAGTTGCCTTTGCAATCCAGGATGTTAACTAGAAGGTGCATGATGTTAACATTGAGAAACAAAAATTAGTTGTTTTTAAATGTAAGTAATCAGTGAATGAGAAGTTAGTGAAGTATTCACTGAGTGAAGTTGTTGCTTGATCGAGTAAAATAAATAAGTAAGTTAATCAGATTTGTTATCAATTGGGTGAATTTCTATTAAACGAAACTACTGTACTTAGGTTTACAGTAGTTTCAGAGTTTATATCGAAAAACTTGTTGGTGAACTTTAGCCTACATCTTGAGTCAAAGTGAATATAGCCTGTAGCAAAAGCTATTGAAGAAATAATTTAATTTATTATTATGTGGACTGAACTAGGCATTAGTTTCGACATATAATTCAAAAGGATCCACTCAACAATAAAATGTTATAGTATTGTTACGACAGCGGAAGTCACGTGACGCTGGTAACACGTCATAAGATTCTCAAAGGATCTTCACTTTAACTGGCAACTCTAGTCTTTTCTAGGCACCCTCTTTTCTGGAGGTTGTATATAAGCCTGGCAAATAATTGCAGATAGATAGATATAGAGACAGATAATTGAGTCAAGCCAGCGGTAGTGACCATAAGTAAAGTGCGTGAATCGTTGTGAGTTATAGCGTGTGTTGAAGTTAAAATGACTGTGGAAATTAAGTGTATTGAAAAGTTGTATTGAGAAAGAATAAACTAGTTTTATTTAAGAAAGGACTTGTATCGCTGAAGTTCTTCAGAAATAATTTTTAAGGGAAATTAACAAACGAACAGAGATGTAACAGTATGAATGAATAAGCCTTTAAAGTGCCCCGTTTCTACAAACTTTGAAAACAAGTGTTGGATAATCTGCTAACATTGAAGCATAAAAGTATAGTACCAAAGTGTTTTTAACTCCATGTTTTTAAATGAAAACTAGAAGAGTATTTAAACCTTTACTTGGCAAAAATTCTCTGTAATTGTGACTTCTTAGAATAGATAGTTTGAATTAGTTTATCATAATGTGTTTCTCAATGTTTTCATGAATTTCTAATTTCATGTTATCACATTCAACTCTAAAATTATTCCTCACTTTAGATGATGCATTTCTTTTTTCTAGAGATGTGTTCAACAAAAACTTGTATAGTTACTTTAAGTCCCCGAGTTACTGTTTGTGAAGATTTTGTGATAAATTTTTAGTAAATGTTTCTTTCCTTCAGAAACTGTTATATTGAAGAAGATAAAGGTTGTGCTAGGCTTTTCATATAATTCATCGGCTCTTAGTAGATCAGCATCAGAAGATATCAAGAGGTATGTGTTTATTTATACAGAATTAGAGGATTGTACATATGTGTGTGTGTGTGTGAGAAAATTCTTGAGTAATATTTTTCATTATTTAGTTTATTTGAAATTCCAAGGTAAATAATGTGTAAATTAGAACAGTGTGAGATTACAGAAACAAGTTGTAATGGAGAGGCTTCAAGATATACTATCAGTGAATTAACTAAAAGGATTATCAATCGTGTGTTTAGCATCCATCACTCAGAGTAGCTGGCTCAATTACCATAAGGTTTTGTAAGCTAACTGGAAACTGTCTGAAGGTGTACATTGACTACTTTGTTTCAGGATTTACGTTAAAGGAGGAGGGGGAGTAAAATAAAACACAGTGTTACGACAGCGGAGGTCACGTGACGCTAGTAACACGTGATAAGTGTCTAGAAGGTTCATGAAGAGGCGAGTGCATTCTAGATGCCCTCTATTCTTGTATATAAGTGCGGCAAATAAAGCTAGGTAATTGGATGGCAGACAGAGAAACAGGGAGACAAATAATCGATTCAAGTCGTATGTAAAGTGCGTAAAGCAAAATAATTAATTGGATAGCAGACAGAGAGATAGTGAGACAGGTAATCGAGTCAAGTCGTAAGCAAAGTGCGTGAATCGTTGTGAATTATAGCGTGTGTTTAAGTGAAAGTGACTGTGGCAATTCTGTGTATTGCAAAGTTTTACTGAGAAAAAATAAGCTAGTTTTATTTAAGAAAGGACTTGTATCGCTGAAGTACCTCCGGAAGAATTTATATGGGAAATTAACAAACAAACAGAGACGTAACAACAGAAATAAAACACATTTCCACTTTTGTAGAATTTCAGCTTTGAATTTTAATGACATAAGTACTTAATCAGTTAAATGATTCAATTACTACCTTTCACAAAGCAGGGTATGCAATTAGTATTTAATGAGGTCACTAGGGATTTAATAACAAAAGAAAGAAGGGGAACATTGTCTAACCTTGTCCTTTATACAATTTTGCTTCTTTAATGGGTCTCCTCAGTTAGTTGTGATAATAAGTGTTTATCAAGATGTTCTGTTACCAATCTTGATTTTTCAGCTGTTTACTTTATTGCTCTCACATATTTAAATTGTTTTTATAAGTATTTAGTGAAATGTAATTTAATTTATGTGCAATGATGCTATAATTTTCAGTTTAGTTTCTATATACAATATGTCTCTAGGATCACTGTAGTAATCTAGCTTAAACTGTATATGTAACATGTTTGTACCTGTCATCAGGTTGGTGATGAGGCTTCTGAATGATATGGATGTGGAGATTGAGGAAGATAATGTTCAAGTGAAGATTTCATCATCAGGCGTAAATGTGAAGTTTAACTTGACTGGTAAGAACAAAGTGGATGCAGAGTTTCACCTTCAAGAAATGGTACGTTTACTGTTCATATACTTTAGTGACTTTAGCATACAGGGCTGTGTTCCACAAGGCCTAAAGCTTGATCTGTGATTGAATTGAATACCTAGACCCTTTGACAATCGATCTTGGAGGTGCTTCTGATTGGTTGCCCTGCATTTGAACTCTAGATTGGAGATAATTATGTTGTTCAGGTCGAAAATGCCAAATACCAGTCATACTTATGATTGATTGAATTGTAACTTGATATTTGCATTTTTTCAAACAAATATGCTAGTGTAACTAGAGAATCTTAAATGTGTTATTGATTTATTGCTCCTTTTCTAAAAACAAGTTACGTGAAAGTTGAGTTCTGAGAAAATAGATATATAAACAGTCCTTGAGAAAAGTAATAAAAACCTATTCAAGATTAACATAGGGCATTCATGAGTAGTGTAATTTTAAGGTTTAGTGACCACTGAAAATGCCTGATATTCAGAGGATTTTGAGAAATTATTTGGAATGTCTTAAAATTGCACAGGTTTATAGTTCTGTATTCTACAGACAATAAAAATAAACTTGTATAGCAAGAACTGCTGCAAACTTGGGACAACGTCAATTATGTTTCAAATAATTACATTTACTAGGTATAAAATTTATGCAAAGAAAATGAAAAGCTTCCATATTCTGCAATACAAGTTATTGTATGATGTCTATTTATTTTGACTTTGTCATACACAACATTTGATGCACACCAGCAAAGTTTTATTAATATTGTACATGAGAGGAATCATTATTGAATAAAGAAAAACTTGCAGTCTAGTAAACTAGAGAACGTGGAAAATAAAAAAGGGTCAACAACATTGTCATGTAACATCCAAGAATGGTGTGTAATCATTTTCACATAAAGTTACTCAAGGACTATTGGTGCTAGCTGTCTAATGTTTAAGTGATAGACTAGAGGTAAGGCAGCTGAACACCACCACCACCCATTGCGAACCTGATTGCTAATTTAATCAAATAGTGGGAGTTTACAGTCACTCTTATAATGCACCTTTGGCCTCAAAGTGCATAATGCAATTTTTATTTTGGGGGTTGCGTGATGCAAACCAAGGAACCTCAGATTCACTGTCCAGCAAGATAACCATTATGCCTCGCTTAGACCCCGTTGTAAGTAGGTGTTGTACAATTAATATTTAACTGACGATCTTCCAATTTCTGAGATTAGTTATTGTATGATACCTTTCTTAACAACAGTAGGCCGTTCACATTTTAGCTCCTCAAATATTGAGGGGGAAATACACATATAAATCCCCTACATAGGGTGAACAGGGTAAAAAAATTTTTCGTAATTCTTCTGCCTGCAAAATCATTTAGGATTAAGCTTTAACTTACCAACTGCCTTTTGTAGTTTTTGTTTCATAATGCAATTCTATATTTTATAAAAACTACTGTAAAATTGGCTTTTACAAAGTTCAGATAAAATCCTCCAAGCTGTAACAAGACCATTCGACTTCCAATTTAAACAGGAACCACACAGTACTATCGAGGCTGCTTTAGAAGCCTATTTGCATTAAAACACTCCAGACATGAACCATATTAACATTCCCAACAAAACCTACACCAGTATTTCTCAGGTAAGGAATGTAAAGATCAAATGTATGGTCTTAGATAAATTATAACATAATTTTACTTGTAACAGATTCACTCAACAGGAATCGAAATTCAATGATGAACAATAAAATGACTGCAACAACATGTTTATGTACTGTAACAAACATTTAATTCTTGAATGTTTCAAAATGTACATATTCCATCTTCAGCAAGCTATGTTGAACAAGGTAAAATATTAGATACAAAAATTTCTAAAGTTTCAACATGATGTAAAGAGTAATTAAAATACAAAGTAAACAGATGAAGTCATTTAAAAACCAGAAACAAGAAAGACAGGATAGTGCAACAGTTGTAACAATATTATACAAGTTACGGTTGTTGCACTATCCTTTCTTTCTTGTTTTTAATTGACTTCATCCTTTTACTCAGTATTTTAATTACTCATTACAAAATGTTGGAACTTCAGAAATTTAAAAATTCCTGTACCTACTATATTACTTTGTTCAATATAGTTTGCTCAAGATGGAATATGTACATTCCAAAACGTTTAAGAATTAAATTTTTGTTATATACATACACTTCATATGTTTATTGTTGCTGTCTTTCTATTGTTCATCATTAAATTTTACTTGTATTATTAGCTTTTGGCTCCTCTGGTGGATCCTTTTTAAAGGGAAGCAATATATGGAGGTTGTTCTTCACTGGTATGACTTGATAATTGTCACCTGAGAAAATAAGAACTTTAATGAAAAAACAATGAACAATTATAAATCCAATTGATAAGTAATATCACATAGGAACTGATTTTTAACAAACATTGTTTCTGAAAATAACCAAGTAATATCATTCAACAACAATTGCTACATACACAGTTTGCAGAAAACTCTGTCCAAGGAGCATGTAATTTAAAAAAGTAATAAAACCATGTTGTATAATTTAATGTTTTAACCCATAAAATTAGTATAGAAGAGTACTTAGAACTTGTACATAATACTCATTGACTTGTCTGAGCTTATGAAAACGTTTATAGCCTGAAACTGCAATTCCAGTATCTTTGTGCCAATGTAAGTATTACAGTAAAGAATGAAAGACTTTGAAAATGGAATGAAATGTGGTAAAATTGACTAAGTGTAAAACATTTGTTTCATAATGTTAGCTATGTTATGTTAAGCATTTTAACTTGTATGCTAGAAATTGAAGAAATTTTATTGTATTTGAATATTTCATGCTGTTTTCCTTCACATAATTGTTTTTCTCTGTTCACCATTTGGCTCAAGTTGCATTGTCCATTCTGTACTGATTGAGCGGGTACTTTCTTTGACCACATGTATTCTACAAGTCCTTCACCACATGCAGTAAAATGAAAACACAGTATACAACTGTTTCATTTCAGTGTTTATTCTTTTTCTTTCTCAAAGGATTCAAACATATTTTTGAGTAATTTAATGAAGGTTAAAACTGGTGGGTCTGTAATTACTTTGTTCTTCTGGCTCTTGGATTTTTTAAAGTAAAATGTGTATAACATGATTTGTAGGAAATCTTGTTGACATGTGTGTACTTGCATCTTCAGAAAAGACAAAAGCAACACGAAATTTTAATGTCATCACTAGAACTAAAACTTTTGAGGAAGTAAATATGACAAGGAATGCAAACTTCTTAAACTCTCGCTGAAACTTTTCATATTGAGCTTTAAATCGACATCTCATTTCTTACTTTACAGATAAAGAATCTATCGTTAGAGATTAATGGCATAAAGATGTCAGCTGACTTGTACATATCCACATTTTCCCATTTTTTGAACTCTGATGCAACCCATGAAAACAGAATACTGGAACATATGCTGGTTAACGTTCAACCGAATAACGATGTTCAACACTTGGGATCTGTGGTTGTTCTAACAGTTGTGGCTGGTGGAATTGGAGTCCTTGTTCTCTTGCTGTTAGTTGCTGTTATGGTAAGTCGATTTCTTAACATATTTATTAGTACAGTGGACTAGCTGCTAAGAAAGTCCTATAAAGCTACATTCAACTGTGAATGACTTTTCTTTTTTACAGATTTACAAGAGCTCCAAAAGAAGATATTTTCCAAATTTCAGTAAAGAAAATTTGGTAAGACATTTTGATTACCACTATTTCATAGGATGCTAATACTTAATATTATGACACTGTAGAGAAGCAAGTACAAGCTAGACAACTGCAGCTTAGGTGAATGTTACTAGTGATTTGTAAATATGAGCCACTGAAATGCCTTTTTTAAAAAGATGTAAAAGATAATAATGTTTTGTTAATAAATGGGTAAAAAAAAAGATAAGTATTTTGCTGCTCACTGTTAGACACCACATATTTGTATGTTTGTTATTAAGCAGATATTATTAGGCATTTTAGTTTCTTAAATTTTCTTTTTCCTTTTAGTTGGACGTTCTCTATCTTTTGTGCTAAAAAAAGTACCAAAGTGGTTTATTTAAATCTATTACATTTAACTAGTACTGAAACCGTGTAAAGTATAATTATGTTGCTAGCCTAAACTCTTCGTTTTTCTTAGATTTTCAAACTTTCCTGCAATTCCTTGATGTTTAGAAGTTTGCTGAAATTCCTAAAAATTTCTCAAAAAAGGGGGTTGGTCTAAAACAGCACTAATACTATTTGAAATTCTTAGATTTTGCATAATGCTTATGAAAAACCGAATTATATAATATTTGTTGCTGTTTAAATATCTAGTTAACCCTATTGCCATGGGTATCCTTTACAGCACATGACACAAGGTTTTAGTGTCTTACATTAAAAATTTTATTAAACTACTTTCTGTTATACCAATTAGTATAGCGTAAAACCTTAGCCAATAATCCATATTTCAATAGTATTTAAGTTTTAAGTTCTTAATTCAAAAAGGCAAAATTTAAAAAAATTCTTAATTCCCCTAGTGTGACAGACATGAGACATTTTCTCTAGGTATCTTTTCTTCTCTATTTTATCCACCACTCCTCCAGTAACTACAAAATTAAACGTAGTGTTACGTCTCCGTTTGTTAATTGATTTTTCCGTAACTTCGTTCCAACGAAACTTTAACGACACAAGTCTTTACTTAATAAAACTGGGCAGAGTTATATTCGGAAAGAATAAAGTATTGAGATTAAGTGTATCCCGAGCTAAAACAACACTGTAACGAACGAACGTTAACTTCAACAATACCGTGTGACTGCAGTTCAATTACTCACTATCTACCCAGACACGTTACATTCCCCTCTTATATATATCCGCCTACCCTATATCTAGTAAGAACTAGAACATTCGCCAAAGTACAGGATAATTCAAGAAAGGAGAGAGCGTGAGAATCACATGATCTCGATGACGCAACAATATTGTGTGTGTTATACAGCATGATCTGCAATAATCTAAACTTAGGATATTTTTAAAGGGTGAACTTTCCACACTGTTTTCTAGTAATATATAGTTATTTCGTTTAATTTGTGAAATGGAAAATAATATTCACATAACATTCATTATATGTATTATTACAAAAACATGCACACATATACTGTGAACATTGAATATATGAGCATTGAGTCATATATATATATAAATTTATCATAAATTTAATATATATATATATATATATATTAGTTTATGCATGTTCTACTATTATGTTGACAGTCTCGTCTTTTAGGCATTTTGTTCGTGTTTTTTTCTTGTTATTAAGTTTCCTTGTTTGTTTCTTACTAAGCACAAAGCTATCTTTGCTGTTCCAACAGCGGGTGTCGAAACCCGAGTTTTAGCGTTATAAGTTCACAGACTTACAGCTGAGCCACCGGGAGGAGCTATGCAATTAAGGGGAATTCTAACTGTGCACTGCTTTTTATTTACTTTATCAGAGAGTGAGACATAAACAGTTGTTGTTTTTTCACTTTCTACAATCTTGTACAGATGTCAGTTATTTTTCTGAGGACTGATATCACATATACGCAAGTGACGATGAATTAAAAGTTAGAAATAATGATGTTATAGCTTATGTGTTTTGTTGTTGTTTCAAATTTAGAACTTTCTCGAAGTATGTATTGTTGTTCAGTCTAAGAAAAATCTAACGTAAAGTGCTGAATGTGTGGCCTAACGTCTGTAAATTTATTTAACGTTCTAGGACTACTTGAGCAGTATAAAATGGGAATTGGGCTAGAGTAGATTGAATATTGAATTTGTGTATTTAAGAATGTGTATACACTCACGTGAAAGAAATCTATCATTCTATAGGTATTTGAAGAACTTGTAACATTCCGCCACAGTTTAATTCTTCGTATTGCTAGCCGACATTGGGCAGTTTGTACATAATTGAATAAATAGAGTTATTTAAACATTTGTTCAACAACAAATTTCGTTTATTTCTAAGGCTGAAAAAAAAACTTGAAATGGTTTACAGAGATACACCCGTTGGAAATACGAATTGGGTAGCACTACAAAAACTTTTGCAGTCAGGGCGATTTTCTAGGCGATCAAATATAAGGTTCTGCATATGAAGGTCATGTGGCTTTTATGACCATTAAATGTTTTATTCTCCAAATGTAAATATAAATATGAAATATATTAGATTTCAATACTAAAATTTAAAAGTTTAATCCGCTTTTAATATAAAAAAGTAGCATTTAGAGGAAGATTGGTTTCATGTAAATCCCGCAAATATGTACTAACTGTAACAAAGGAAATTGTTTGTGAAATTTGACCTTCAGTTGTCTCGTTAGTTTCATGTTCAGTGTTTAATCATTTGTATTACTTTCCATAAAAAGGGAATTATTTTAAAAACAAGTATCAGAAATATTACAAAAATCAATAGCTCTTTTTTAACATGGGCTTGGTCAAACTGACCGACCTCTGAAAATTTTTAGTGTATTTTCACAATATTTAGTAAGTTTTTGTAGATATTGTTACGCCTCCGTTCGTTAGTTAATTTTCCGTAAAAATTCTTTCCGAAGAAACTTTAGCGATACAAGTCCATTCTTAAATAAAACTAGTTTATTCTTTCTGAATACAACTTTGCAATATACTTAATTTCCACAGTCGCGCTATAACAAACGCTATAATTACCAACGAACGTTTCACGTGCTCAACTCAACTGTCAGTTACACATTATTGCCGTCACTTCTTGGCGGCTTATATATATAGAAGACTACTGCATATCTAGTAGCCTCTCGAGACTTCAGGAAGGGACGTGAACGTTCGAGAATATGACGTGATACTAGCGTCACGTGACCCCCGCTGTCGTAACACTGCCCTTCCTTAGTATTGTT